GAGACAAAATATTGTGAGGTGAGGCAAGATATTGTGAGGTGAGACAAAATATTGTGAGGTGAGACAAGATATTGTGAGGTGAGACAATATATTGTGAGGTGAGACAAGATATTGTGAGGTGAGACAAGATATTGTGAGGTGAGACAAAATATTGTGAGGTGAGACAAAATATTGTGAGGTGAGGCAAGATATTGTGAGGTGAGACAAAATATTGTGAGGTGAGACAAGATATTGTGAGGTGAGACAAGATATTGTGAGGTGAGACAAAATATTGTGAGGTGAGACAAAATATTGTGAGGTGAGACAAATTATTGTGAGGTGAGACAAGATATTGTGAGGTGAGACAAAATATTGTGAGGTGAGACAAAATATTGTGAGGTGAGACAAGATATTGTGAGGTGAGACAAAATATTGTGAGGTGAGACAAAATATTGTGAGGTGAGACAAAATATTGTGAGGTGAGACAAAATATTGTGAGGTGAGAAAAGATATTGCGATACTGGGTTGAGACAAAATATTGTGAGGTGAGACAAAATATTGTGAGGTGAGACAAGATATTGTGAGGTGAGACAAAATATTGTGAGGTGAGACAAAATATTGTGAGGTGAGACAAGATATTGTGAGGTGAGACAAAATATTGTGAGGTGAGACAAAATATTGTGAGGTGAGACAAAATATTGTGAGGTGAGACAAGATATTGCGATACTGGGGTGAGACAAAATATTGTGAGGTGAGACTAAATATTGTGAGGTGAGACAAGATATTGCGATACTGGGGTGAGACAAAATATTGTGAGGTGAGACTAAATATTGTGAGGTGAGACAAGATATTGCGATACTGGGGTGAGACAAAATATTGCGATACTGGGGTGAGACAAGATATTGCGATACTGGGGTGAGACAAAATATTGTGAGGTGAGACAAAATATTGTGAGGTGAGACAAGATATTGTGAGGTGAGACAAGATATTGCGATACTGGGGTGAGACAAAATATTGTGAGGTGAGACTAAATATTGTGAGGTGAGACAAGATATTGTGAGGTGAGACAAAATATTGTGAGGTGAGACAAGATATTGTGAGGTGAGACAAGATATTGCGATACTGGGGTGAGACAAAATATTGTGAGGTGAGACTAAATATTGTGAGGTGAGACAAGATATTGTGAGGTGAGACAAAATATTGCGATACTGGGGTGAGACAAAATATTGCGATACTGGGGTGAGACAAGATATTGTGAGGTGAGACAAAATATTGTGAGGTGAGACAAAATATTGTGAGGTGAGACAAGATATTGCGATACTGGGGTGAGACAAAATATTGCGATACTGGGGTGAGACAAAATATTGCGATACTGGGGTGAGACAAAATATTGTGAGGTGAGACAAAATATTGTGAGGTGAGACAAAATATTGTGAGGTGAGACAAGATATTGTGAGGTGAGACAAGATATTGCGATACTGGGGTGAGACAAAATATTGCGATACTGGGGTGAGACAAAATATTGCGATACTGGGGTGAGACAAAATATTGCGATACTCGGGTGAGACAAAATATTGTGAGGTGAGACAAAATATTGTGAGGTGAGACAAAATATTGTGAGGTGAGACAAGATATTGTGAGGTGAGACTAAATATTGTGAGGTGAGACAAGATATTGTGAGGTGAGACAAGATATTGCGATACTGGGGTGAGACAAAATATTGCGATACTGGGGTGAGACAAGATATTGTGAGGTGAGACAAAATATTGTGAGGTGAGACAAAATATTGTGAGGTGAGACAAGATATTGCGATACTGGGGTGAGACAAAATATTGTGATACTGGGGTGAGACAAGATATTGTGATACTGGGGTGAGACAAAATATTGCGATACTGGGGTGAGACAAAATATTGCGATACTGGGGTGAGACAAAATATTGTGAGGTGAGACAAAATATTGTGAGGTGAGACAAAATATTGTGAGGTGAGACAAGATATTGTGAGGTGAGACAAGATATTGCGATACTGGGGTGAGACAAAATATTGCGATACTGGGGTGAGACAAAATATTGCGATACTGGGGTGAGACAAAATATTGCGATACTCGGGTGAGACAAAATATTGTGAGGTGAGACAAAATATTGTGAGGTGAGACAAAATATTGTGAGGTGAGACAAGATATTGTGAGGTGAGACTAAATATTGTGAGGTGAGACAAGATATTGCGATACTGGGGTGAGACAAAATATTGCGATACTGGGGTGAGACAAAATATTGTGAGGTGAGACAAGATATTGTGAGGCGAGACAAGATATTGCGATACTGGGGTGAGACAAAATATTGCGATACTGGGGTGAGACAAAATATTGTGAGGTGAGACAAGATATTGTGAGGCGAGACAAGATATTGCGATACTGGGGTGAGACAAAATATTGCGATACTGGGGTGAGACAAGATATTGTGAGGTGAGACAAAATATTGTAAGGTGAGACAAAATATTGTGAGGTGAGACAAGATATTGTGAGGTGAGACAAGATATTGTGAGGTGAAACAAGATATTGCGATACTGGGGTGAGACAAGATATTGTGAGGTGAGACTAAATATTGTGAGGTGAGACAAGATATTGTGAGGTGAGACAAGATATTGTGAGGTGAGACAAAATATTGCGATACTGGGGTGAGACAAAATATTGCGATACTGGGGTGAGACAAGATATTGTGAGGTGAGACAAAATATTGTGAGGTGAGACAAAATATTGTGAGGTGAGACAAAATATTGTGAGGTGAGACAAAATATTGTGAGGTGAGACAAGATATTGTGAGGTGAGACAAAATATTGCGATATTGGGGTGAGACAAAATATTGCGATACTGGGGTGAGACAAAATATTGTGAGGTGAGACAAAATATTGTGAGGTGAGACAAAATATTGTGAGGTGAGACAAGATATTGCGATACTGGGGTGAGACAAGATATTGTGAGGTGAGACAAAATATTGTGAGGTGAGACAAGATATTGCGATACTGGGTTGAGACAAAATATTGTGAGGTGAGACAAAATATTGTGAGGTGAGACAAAATATTGTGAGGTGAGACAAGATATTGCGATACTGGGGTGAGACAAGATATTGTGAGGTGAGACTAAATATTGTGAGGTGAGACAAGATATTGCGATACTGGGGTGAGACAAGATATTGTGAGGTGAGACTAAATATTGTGAGGTGAGACAAGATATTGCGATACTGGGGTGAGACAAAATATTGCGATACTGGGGTGAGACAAAATATTGCGATACTGGGGTGAGACAAAATATTGTGAGGTGAGACAAAATATTGTGAGGTGAGACAAAATATTGTGAGGTGAGACAAGATATTGCGATACTGGGGTGAGACAAGATATTGTGAGGTGAGACAAAATATTGTGAGGTGAGACAAGATATTGCGATACTGGGTTGAGACAAAATATTGTGAGGTGAGACTAAATATTGTGAGGTGAGACAAAATATTGTGGGGTGAGACAAAATATTGTGAGGTGAGACAACATATTGTGAGGTGAGACAAGATATTGCGATACTGGGGTGAGACAAAATATTGTGAGGTGAGACAAAATATTGTGAGGTGAGACAAAATATTGTGAGGTGAGACAAAATATTGTGAGGAGTGACAAAATATTGTGAGGTGAGACAAAATATTGTGAGGTGAGACAAGATATTGTGAGGTGAGACAAGATATTGTGAGGTGAGACAAAATATTGTGAGGTGAGACAAGATATTGTGAGGTGAGACAAGATATTGTGAGGTGAGACAAAATATTGTGAGGTGAGACAAGATATTGTGAGGTGAGACAAGATATTGCGATACTGGGTTGAGACAAAATATTGTGAGGTGAGACAAAATATTGTGAGGTGAGACAAAATATTGTGAGGTGAGACAAGATATTGTGAGGTGAGACAAAATATTGTGAGGTGAGACAAAATATTGTGAGGTGAGACAAAATATTGTGAGGTGAGACAAAATATTGTGAGGTGAGACAAAATATTGTGAGGTGAGACAAGATATTGTGATACTGGGGTGAGACAAAATATTGTGAGGTGAGACTAAATATTGTGAGGTGAGACAAGATATTGTGAGGTGAGACAAAATATTGTGAGGTGAGACAAAATATTGTGAGGTGAGACAAAATATTGTGAGGTGAGACAAAATATTGTGAGGTGAGACAAGATATTGCGATACTGGGGTGAGACAAAATATTGTGAGGTGAGACAAAATATTGTGAGGTGAGACAAGATATTGCGATACTGGGGTGAGACAAAATATTGTGAGGTGAGACTAAATATTGTGAGGTGAGACAAGATATTGTGAGGTGAGACAAGATATTGCGATACTGGGGTGAGACAAAATATTGCGATACTGGGGTGAGACAAGATATTGTGAGGTGAGACAAAATATTGTGAGGTGAGACAAAATATTGTGAGGTGAGACAAGATATTGTGAGGTGAGACAAGATATTGCGATACTGGGGTGAGACAAAATATTGCGATACTGGGGTGAGACAAAATATTGTGAGGTGAGACAAAATATTGTGAGGTGAGACAAAATATTGTGAGGTGAGACAAGATATTGTGAGGTGAGACAAGATATTGCGATACTGGGGTGAGACAAGATATTGTGAGGTGAGACAAAATATTGTGAGGTGAGACAAGATATTGTGAGGTGAGACAAAATATTGTGAGGTGAGACAAAATATTGTGAGGTGAGACAAAATATTGTGAGGTGAGACTAAATATTGTGAGGTGAGACAAAATATTGTGAGGTGAGACAAAATATTGTGAGGTGAGACTAAATATTGTGAGGTGAGACAAAATATTGCGATACTGGGGTGAGACAAGATATATTAATGAGAAAGAGATTCCTACAATTCAGCTACTCAATGGAATATGGCGCGAACTTATTCTCTCAACAGTGACGTCATGGAGGTTACGAACGATTATAAAAGCTGCAGACGGCACAACATGACCGTTGGGGTATATCTGACATTCACAGACCTAGGCAGGGTACTAGGACTGCAGGAAAATGGCACCCGACCTAAGTCTGACATTAATTTTTACTGTTTTTCTTCACTGGATACCATCATGCCATGGTAAACTGTTTTACATTTTTTAAATTACAATATTTATATTAATTTACATTAATCTAAATTAATTCAACTAATTTTTGCTTGATTTCTTTGTTCTTCATTACAAAGTAAAATGATGAATTTATGTCAACATATTTTTACTTTGTCGTACAAGGTATCGAGAAAGTATTGTAACCGTGCAAAAAATCGAGATCCCTGAGTCGGAAAAACTTTGTTTCGTAATTTTGTCTGTACGTCTGTGTGTCTGTGAGCACGCTAACTTGAGTACAGTTTCAGTTATGTTGACGTTAATTTCACATTATTTCTGACAGCCTCCACAAACAGGGTGTGTGTGTGTGTGTGTACATGTGTGACCTAAGCGGTAGAGCGCTAGGCTACTAACCCAAAAGTCCCGAGTTCGAATCCGGTAGAACGTTATACCTAGACGTAATGCCGCTGAAGCGTTTATTGCAGATGTTTGTATTGTACCTAACATTGGCATTATGTTGCAGGTCAAAACTCTATGGTAGTGACCAGCCTCAGACTGGTCAATGATGTTGGTAACGCTGTTAACAAAGGGAGGGTAGTGGTCCAGCTGAATCACATCCCGGTCAACGGATCCATCTGTGGTTATGGCTTTGACGACAAGGACGCTCGGGTCGTATGTCGTATGCTGGGCCTGTAAGTCTGACACGGCATATGTACGTCTGGCATATGATACGTCAGTCTGACACGGCACATGTACGTCTGGCATATGATACGTCAGTCTGACACGACAGTGTACGTCTGGCATATGATACGTCAGTCTGACACGGCACATGTACGTCTGGCATATGATACGTCAGTCTGACACGGCACATGTACGTCTGGCATATGATACGTCAGTCTGACACGACAGTGTACGTCTGGCATATGATACGTCAGTCTGACACGGCACATGTACGTCTGGCATATGATACGTCAGTCTGACACGGCACATGTACGTCTGGCATATGATACGTCAGTCTGACACGACAGTGTACGTCTGGCATATCAGTATGACACGGTACATTAGAACAAAAAGACATCATAATTTACTAGACCACCTCACCAAACACCGTATTAAACAGTTAACCTGCAGCAAATTGTGTTGAATAAAAAACATTCATACCCTCAACATCAACCTACAACATCAACCTACAGCATCAACCTACATCATAGCTACAGCATCAACCTACATCATAGCTACAACATCAAACTACAACATCAACCTACAACATCAACCTACAGCATCAACCTACATCATAGCTACAGCATCAACCTACATCATAGCTACAACATCAAACTACAACATCAACCTACAACATCCACCTACAACATCAAGCTACAACATCAACCTACAACAACCTACAACATCAACCTGCAATATCAACCTACACCATCAACGTAAAACATCAACCTACAAAATCAACCTACACCATCAACCTACAACATCAACCTACAACAACAACCTACATCATTAACCTACAACATCAACCTACAACATCAACCTACAACATCAACCTACAACATCAACCTACAACATCAACCTACACTATCAACCTACAACATCAACCTACACCATCAACGTAAACCATCACCTTACACAATCACCCTACACCATCACCCTACATCCCTATCACCCCCACAGGACGGGCGGCCGGGCGATACTGGACGGCTCCTATGGTACGGGCAACAAGAACTTCCTGTTGTCTGGGCTACAGTGTGTGGGTACGGAACCAACGCTAACCGTCTGCGCTCAGGAAACTGTCATACGATGTAGCTATCAGGTGAGTGCACTGGTGTATGTAGCATAACGCACTGGTGTAGCTACCGACATTAGTTCAGAGTGCCAAATTGGGAACAGAAAAAAAAAGCACCAACACAAATACAAAGACAAACATAAACGCAATCTCAAACGCAAACACAAACAGAAACACAAACATAAACGCAAATATGAACACAAATATGAAGAATTCTTCAGTTCATTTTTTTTTCATATGGATTTTAAGAGATCTAGAAATCAAATTTTAAATAAAAAACCTTTAAATCTCTGTGCCGACTAATTAGGAAATAATATAAATAACCTTACATTTATATGTTTTAATTAATAGACTTAACATAATAATCAATGCGGTAGGAATTTTTTTTTAAGTGAGGTTAGATTATAATAAATATTACTTAAACAGCAATATTTAGCTATTATACCTTCCTTGTATCTAAACCCCTTTGATGTTTTAACTAATAAACGTGGCACACCTTTGTGTCCAACATCTAGAGTCCCGAGGTGGGGGTGGAGTGTGACCCCTCATTGTCCAACACGAACCCACTGTTTGACATACCAGGAGCAGGACCCCTGCCGTTGTCCAGTCAAGTCTTCAAGCAATACCCAC